GGTAGAAGAATGTTAGTCATATTTGATCATTATATCATGTTTGCCAAGGGCCGTTGTAAGGTGTAACTGAAATTTGGAAACTTAATCTGGAGATGATCCAGTTTTATTTTATGACAATTTGAAGTAAATTAGGGACCTAAACTTTGTTAATGTTAAAAAGAAATCCTGTTATTAAGCTGGAGTACCGCTTCCAAATGTTACAGTTTGAATATTTATCTGCCAATTTCCTGGAGAGTAAGTTGTAGGTTTGGTAAACTGTTTTTAAAAGATTAGGAAGGTTATTGCTTAAATTGTTTATGATCAAAAGTGCAGTTTTCTCAGTCTGTTCAATTTTGTCTTTGTAATGTAGTGATGTGGTCGTGCTTAAAGGGTTGAAGAAAAGATCGTGCATGTTTAACCACTGCTAATGCATGTTCTGAAAGCATGATTTGGATTACAGTACTTCACTTATTGTCAAATATTTCTTCAATTACTGTTAGTTTCTGGCTGCTTTACCAAATGTAGATTTTTAAACTCAGAATTGTCTTTATATACAACAAACAAGCGTACTTTTAAAAATGTTAAAAGTCTATTAAGTAGTCCGGTAAAACAGAGTTCCTGTAATCTGTTTCCTGTTATGCACAAGTAATGGAAATGCTGAATTCTGACTTCACATTTGCTGACAGGGTTGCTTTCATTTCCATGAGAAAATCGTTGCAGTTAGTCTTGATTAAGAGAAATGGAAGGACTGGCTGCCCTTGCTTTCCCTGACTTCATTTAGTTTGCATGTAAAGTTGGTCAGCAATGCCTCATTGTAGGTTTATTTAAGTGAAGTGTTTACTTGTATTTGATGACTCCTATTTGATATAGGAGACATCTATACTAGATACACAAAAGAGCAAAAGTGAGGTAGGAAACCTCAACAAGAACACCAGTGTTGCAAGCCGATGCCAGGGGGGCTATCAAGAGTTTATTTTGCTGCTGTCGCCAATGCATGTACTGCTGAATGAACCATCTGGCTCAGATTTTATGTGGGGAAGCAAAAGAACCGTTTCCCACAACCAGATTCTAAGAGAGAGTTTTGTTAGCTCCAGGGAAGAAAGAGAAATATGCTAGTGAACTTCAAAGCAATTACACTGAGCCTATGTGGATAGAGGACCTCTTAAATTTTGCATTTTTTATGCAGTTTAATGGTTGTTTTCAATTGACCAATGATGGGATCCTGCTCAACAGATGTTATTATACTTGCAAAATGACATTCAGAATGGTCATTCTATCTGATCTGGAAGTCTGTTACATAGAACCTGATGTTCTATGTGACAACAGAGGTTCCTCTTTTCTGGGTGACCCTGCTCTGGCAGGGGGGTTGGACTAGATGATCTTTTGAGGTCCCTTCTAGCCTCTAAGATTCTATGATTCTATGATTCCTCTTTCTCCAAGATGCAACTTCAAGGAGTATCTGCTTTTGACTTCACCATCTGTTTGTCATAGCAGTGGATGGTAATTGCTTCTAAATGGGAATGGAAGGTCTCATCAGTTCCCCCTGCTATATGTTCCATTTTTTTGAAGTAGGCCAGTAGGCTTTTCCTGATTTTGACTATTACTGTTGCCACCAGGAAGGAGCAGGTAAAAACACTTAATGAAGAAAAGTTGGCTAGACACACAGCTTCCATGTACAGAATTTTATATGTGTGTGGGGAGGGACAGTGTTGAGGAAAAACAACAAAACCACAAATAAACAGCATTGGTGGCAAATGTGCATGCAAGAAGATATATACTTGTGTTTATAAATTGAACTACTCTTCCTCTGAGGCTCAGCATGCACCTCTGTCTTTATTCTAAATACAGATCCTTAACTCTGATGTTTCTTGTATGAAATACTTGAACTACCCTTCATGAACTACTGAATGGAGCAGTTGTGGATAGGCTGTATAGCTTTCCTAAGCAGAAAATTTGACATAGGTACAGATATGTCTCCAAACATGAGTAGAAGATAATGTAATTTGTAGAACTGGCATCAGATTAATCATCAGAACTCTTGCACTTGTAAATTTTTGAACAGTTTTATGTCTAGATGTTTGTGCTTTAAAAAAGCCTGATAAAAAAAGCCTGATACTGGTAAGACAGACTACACTTGACATCCTATTCATAAATGAAAATATGTTTTTTAGTTTGAGTTGAGTTTAAACCACATAGGTCCTCAAATCTAAATGCCTGATCTGGACTTGCTGCTTTATTTAAATCTTAATATATTTTTCACATACTCTCATAGCCTCTGATAGCTATCGGTGATGTATGAAAGAGTTGGCTTTCAGAGGACTTTTTTAACTCAGGAAAATATCTGCTCTGTTACTCTGTTGTCCTTTCTGCTATTCAATGTGAAGTCAGAAACAAAAGTAGGACTATTTAGAAAACTTCATTTAAGTAGAAAAATTAATTCCTTTGCAGTAATCTTAATTTAGAGTTAGAAAAAATAATGACAGTGGGAATTCATTGTTCTGGCTTATTCCAAATGAAAGTTTGCAAGTTTGCAACTTGCATTTGCGAAGTTACATTTCTGGTAGATTATCTGCCATCAGGCAGGCTGCAGCCAAAGACCTGAGTCGTGACTATGCTACCCTTCCTGTATTTCTGAAGTGGCAGGAAACGTATGGAGCTTTACTATAGAAAAGTCCCCATTGAAGCTTCCATTATGGAATGTTCAGAAGCATTGTGTGTTCAGCACATTTTGATCAAAGTGTTGGTTTAGCTAGAAGGAACACCTGAAGGCAGAGGGAAAGAACATACGATAAAACAGAATTGTACTAGTTTTACTGGAAGAAATGCCTAACACTTATTTGTAAATGTTTATCTCCAAATTTGAGTACAGTAAAAACTGAAGAGTAGTTAAATAAGAATTTTATTTTTGCATTCTAATTGAAAAGATCACTTAGGTCTTTATTATAGGTTTATTCTTGTGGTTTTTGTAATGCAGTGGCATTCAGGGTTTATACTGAGTAAAAGCAGAAAGTAAATAAGCTGCCTTCTAAGGCAGCAGTAGTCAAAATTATTGTGGATTTCAAACTACAAGAAAAAAATGTTAGGAGTAAAAGGGCAGTGAAACTGTTTAGACTGGTACTTAAAAGAGTAAGATGACATTTTAAAAATAAACTATTTCCTAGTTATTGATGTTCTTATCCTTCTTTTATTTTTCAAACTTATAAATGTTTTGCTCTGTAGATAGTCCTTTTGGACGTTGTTCTGTTTTCATGTGTTCAATTTAGTCCTGTTTTAACTTTTTACAGACCTTGATATAATTGCACTTACGCTAAATTGATCTGCATTCTGATGAAATTTCTCAGGTTTCAACTTACTGCAAGCTTAAGAACAGTGATTTTTTTAGGTTTGTTTGTTTGTTTGTTTTTTCTTTTTGCTTATTTGGTTTTGTTTTCCCTGGTGCTTGGAAGAAGCAAATAATTCTAGCTAGTAATCTGGATCAAATTGCCTTCAGTCATCTGTTATTTGTAAATGTGTATTTCTATGCATGGTGTCTTTGAAGACAACTTGCTAATATATGGATTGATATATTATCTAGTGCAGTTAACAGTTCACAGGAGTAGGCCTGCAACTGTGGCTGCTGCTAAGTTCTTCTGTCCACCCGTGGCTGCTTCCATTTAAGCTGGCACGTCCCTGCCTGCCTTTCTCCTCCCTTGCACCACCGCTTCTGCTGAGCAATGCAGCTGTTTGTGTCCTCATAGTGATCTGGATCACTGAACTTTCTGTTTGCCAGCTCTTTTTTTCAGCTGTATAATTGCCTCAATCAAGTGAACCTTATGACTGCATAAACACTTTTTTTCCAGAGCAGAAAGGACAGAAATCATAGAATCAGAAAACTATTGAGGTTGGAAAAGACCCTTGGGATCAATGAGTCCAACCATCATCCCTACTCTACAAAGTTCTCCCCTAAACCATATCCACCAGCAGCACATCCAAACGACTCTTAAATGCATCCAGGGATGGTGACTGAACCACCTCCCTGGGCAGCCTATTCCAGTGTCTAACCACTCTTTCTGTGAAAAAAAATTTCCTCATGTCTAGTCTAAACCTCCCCTTTTGCAGCTTGAAGCTATTCCCTCTTGTTCTATCGATGTTTGAAGGAGTGTCTCCTCTCACTGGAGATGCAGAGCTGCCATTGTGAAAAGTCCATAATTTTAAGAAGGATGTGAAGGTCCTTGAATGCATCCAGAGAGGAGGGTAATAAAGCTGATGAAAGTGCTGGACAGTGTCCTATGAGGAGAGGCTCTGAGCTTGTCCAGTTTGGAGAAGAGGAGGCTGAGAGGCAACCACAATGCTCTCTACAGCTTCCTGAGGACAGAAAATGGAGAGGGAGGTGCTGATCTCTTTTCCCAGGGGTCGAGTGACAGGTTGTGTGGGGTTGGTTCAAAACTGCACCAGTGGAGGCTTAGACTGGACATTAGGCAGCCTTTATGTGCCAAAAGGTTGCTTTAAGTTTTAAAACTAAACTTAAGATAAAGGGAAGTTAACTGTAAGAACAAAGAGATCAGTAATTTAATTTTCTTAACCAGTTATACAAAAAGCAGGAAAATACATGAACTATGAAGAATTGGGGAAGCAGGATATCCAGTGATCCGGAAGTGTGAATATCAGTTCATGTAAAATAACAAAAGATGTGAGAGAATGAAGAGAGTACAATATTAAGTATGTGTTTAATTGGATGGGAAGTAAAATAATACAAGACTGGTAGAAATCTAGAAAAGAAGTGGCTTTGAATATAGCCTAGAAATATGTCATAGAAGACTTGTAAATAAAATTATAGTAGTCGTGGCTGGAGTGATTTTAGTTTGTTTTACAAATAGGGGATTGAAGGGGATAAGAACAACTGATAAAAGCTGAAGCATTAGAAATCCTTCACTTAATGGTGATCAGTTATCAAAATGCATGTGTTCTATACTTTCTTCTGTAATTGCTTTAGCATGTTGCGTTTCATAGTTCTACCATGTTTGTTTAATCTTTAGGGGGAAAGAAACAGTGGCTTTGATGTCCTCTATCACAACATGAAACATGGACATTTGTCAACAAAAGACTTAGCAGACTTTATAAGAGAAAGGTAAGTATTCTTCTTTGGTGATCTGGCTCTTTAAAATATTGTTTATGGGTTTTATTTAAGTTTATCATTATGTTTAACTATAACATGCAAAATATGTAAAAATCAAGGAAAATTTTGAAATATATCCTACAAGAAAATCCAGTTTATTCCATTCACTCAGAACTGAATAGTGAGTCTTAAGTGGCAACTAATAACAAGCTTCTGATTTTTCAGTTGTGATTTAAAAAATAAATAAATAAATCTGCAATTGTCACATTAGATGTTTAATTTATTGCATTTTCTCATCATGTTTGGAAGAAATGAAGTAATTTAAAGTATCAAAATTTTCAGTCCTACAAAGTTTTTGACAATGAATATAGAATTAGGGTACTAGCAACTACTTGTGTGATCTTTAAAAAAATTATACTTTCATGTTAAAGAAGAGGAAGTGATTCATAGGAACATGAAAATAGTATACAGAAAATAACACAGATTTTTCTATGGAATGCAAGGGGCAGAGCTCACATCTGCAGATGTGACAACTTCCAAAGCAGATGACCTTGTGCTGTTTTTACTTCTGAATGAAAAAAATATTGTTTCTGCTACATTAAACATAGCCATTTCCATTCTGGACAAGATCTGCTTCAGAATTTTGTATTAATTAAATTATTGACACCAGATGATGCATGAAAAAAAATTGCAAGAGATCGAGGGCTTGTTTCAGTGAAGTTTTATTGCATTAAAAACTGTCAAATACCCCAGCCTTTGGTTTCTGGAGTTTTGCATCACAATTTCAGTTTTGGCCTCAAATATATCTCAGCAAAAAAGTACATTTCCAGAAAATACAACCTCCACAAATCCTGGTTTCAAAGTGAATGGAAAAAAATGACAAAGACCATTCCACTAAGCAGAAAGGGGTGAGTTATAGAATCTGTGATAGGCAGTCTCTTGTTGGAAGGACTACACAACCCAAGGAACTAAGCTTCCAAGAATCCCTGATTCCAGAGAACGTATTATGAAGCCAGACAAGGTTCCAGTGAAATCTGGCATTGAGTTGAGTGGAGGGACATCACACTGTTCCTATTTAGTATGAAATGCTTAAAGCTTCACAAGCTTGCACTTTTAATATTAAATGTTTTAAATGTTTGCCTTGTGTTATCATTGTGAGTTCTTGGATCTTTCCTTTAAAATCTGCTTTAAATTTTTGAATCACTAGTTTTTATAATGGTAAGTCATAGACCTAAGCTGTGTATCACCTGGACACATTTACTTTTATTAATTTTACATCTGTTGCATTTTGTCTTACTTCCATATTTAGCTGAGAACTGAGTCTTCTGCTTTATGTTGTATTCTTTGGCTGTGATTAATTTTATTCATGCTGGTCCTAAGATGAAAAGTCTAATGTAAATAGGCAAAAATAACGTCATGTTATTTCTTACCTGGATTCTTTACTTTATTATAGTGACATAAATAAAAATTGACTGTTCATTCTTCTCAAAATACCCAGTAAAGTGTATGGCGTTCTAGTTTTTTTTCACTATAAGCTCCTCCAAATTAATTTTGAATGAGATATGCCTTTGCAATCCATAAATAAAACATTTTTACCTTTCTCCACATATTAAAAATGTTTCAGCTGAATTTTCTGCTAACTAATTTTATTGATTTGTCAAGAAGGAAACAATAATTTTTCCCAGATAAACAAGATTAAATAACATTTAAAATTAAAAATTAAAGGCCATGTAGGAATACATGAGGATCCACATGGTTACTTTATCCTCAATGAGAAATAGAGAAATCTATTTTCTATTATTGTGCATGGATCAGAATATTGTTCTCATGCATCTGCCACAGAGATATGAAGGCATCTTACAGCATTTTTCATAAAACGTGTGACAAATTCTGTTCTCATTAGCACACTGAGATTCACTAGAATCTTAGTGCTAGATTTTCAATTGTTTGACAACGCTTCAATACAGTTCCTTAAAAGCAACTTCCACTGGGATTTGAAAACATCTACCAGTAATACAAGCCAGCAGCAGTAAGTTAATTCCTTTCCCATCACCTCCTCCCCTCAGAATGTTAAACATTGTATCCTATCTGTTCCATTGTGTTTTCTTCGTCCCTGCTTTACTAATGGATCTCAGTATACCAGCTGCCAATGAAAAAAAACAATTGAATGCCAGATAGGTGGTACTTTTCAAGTGAGGGATGACTCATTGATCAATCTCAGTCTAAGCTAGAGGTAGTTTGGGGCTTATAGTTTCAAAAGAATAGACTTTACATATTGGGAATCCTCTCTTAAATAAAAATGTTTACAAGTGTCCATATCTGAGTGGTGAAGCCCATCACAACTGTTGTGAAGTTATAAAGCTGATTTTCTGGCAAACATGGGTCAAACTTTTGATCTCAAAAGAAATTGGATTGGGCAGTATTTCAGCAGTGTTTTACAACAGTCCACTTGTCTTGACCATGTTCTGTTTTGCGTATTGCAAAGAATTTAAGAGGCTATCTGTTCCTCTCCATATTTTGTGGAGTGTAGTCTTGATTTATTGATTTTTTTTTTCAGTACTCTTTGCTGCTAGAAATATGCAAGTGGATGAGCAACATTTATTAGGAGCCTCCTAGATTTAGTGGTTTTATAACCTGACTTTTATGTACCTTGTTTTCTGAACTGTTTGCTATGGAAATTAGACTTAACTCTGTTTGAACTTTCTTCACATCTGCCCTTCTGTTACTGTTAAACATACTGGTCCTTTTTTCAGAAGTGAAGTCACAGGAGAGTGAAAATTGCTGGAGAGATGGAGGAAACAGATTTGAGTTGGTGATAATGCTTTCAAGAAGTTAGAGCATTTAACCTTTGTGTAAACTATTTGACAATAGTCACCTGGTTAATCAGGATTGCTGGAGTCTCCAGACTAGCCAGAGAATTTGCCTTTTTTTAATTTATTTTTTTTTTCTCAAAGAGAAAGGGAAGATAATTGAGCATGTATTTGACTGTACAGACTGCCTACTGCACAAAGAACACATGCCTGTATTAAGCCAATCTCTGTTATTTGTACTGTTCAGAATAGTGTGTAGGATATATGCAGCCTGATCAGAGAAGTCTGTTGTTCTCTTTTCTCCAGCCTTAGAAATAGCCACAAAAGATTAAAAGATTATATAGGATGTGTAAAAGACTGTCAGTTGTGGGGTTTTTTTTTATAGTCAGCTTAAGGATTTTAGAAAGTTTTTGTTCAAAACTTCTATGAGGACCTTTTGAAACTAAGGTGTTTCATCTGAAAAAAGAAAAAAGTTTTAAATGTGTTCAATTTGTAGTAGTAGAATATTTCTATACTGTATCTGCTGCTCCAACTGGGTATTCCTAGGGGTCCTCTATTTCGCAATTTCAGAATGCATATTCCTCTGTTTTGAAATATCTTCAAAAATTTCAATTATGCTTTTGATGGATTTCTTCAACAGGGCTACAATAGAGGAGGCATATTCAAGGTCAATGACAAAACTAGCCAAATCAGCAAGCAATTACACACAACTTGGGTAAGTAAGTGTAATAAAAGAAATACATAACTCAATACATGTTAAGTATAACAATTAATTTTGAAATGTCATAGGCTCCCAAGCCTATCGTAATTATTCTGAGGAAAACATGTGGTCTGCAGATGCAACAGTAAGTATATTTATTTATATTATTTCTGATTTCTGGAGTGTTATCCACTCCCATAGATGTTAAAAATGAGACTTTTCATTAGATTTATTCCTTAGTTTAATGAAAGCTTTTTATATGGTGTATGTTTTTTAAAACTGAAATGATTAATGGATGTTTTTTCATTAGAAAGATTATGCCAGTGAGAACTCGGATTCTTAGTTGAGGCTAGATTTTTTCTTTTATTTATAGTAATCACAGCTAGAGATGGGGGGAGCTTTTATCAGTGCATAATTTGATACCAATTGTTGCTGCTCTTCAAAGGTTCTGGATCTGCATATTAGTTTGAACATCAGACCTTTAAAGACTATGTATAGTATTGAGTTTTCAGCAGCATTAACCAGGAAACTGAGGTAGAAGTATATCCTTAGAGCAGCCGGAGAAGTACATTCGGTATAAAAATCTGAATCTGAGGAATGACCTGTCCTCCCCGTTCGTTTGCCATGGTTAAACTCTGTTAATCAGTAATCCCTTTCATTGGCAGACCATTTTTGCCAATGTATTTTCTTGCATCTTATGGCTATAATGATGTAACACAACAAAAACTTAACCAAGTAATTTCTGATCTATTCACACTATTCAAGTGTACACGTAAAAATACTTCTACATGTGAAATTATTTTGAGCTTATCTTGCATCATCTTTAGGAATACCACTTGACAATATTGTGTACTGATGACAGAGAAGATTAAGTGAACTTCGCTATGTTTTACCCATTAGAACCAATACAGGTAAAACATAAAACATTGACAAAATTAGTAGAAACTATTCCAAGTACACTAAAACAAATTTAGTGAGCCTTTCTAGTGGTTGTTAGGGTTTTTGTTTGTTTTAATTTTAGAAACAGAAGTTGATTTCTTTAAAATTATCAATTATACTTTAGTATTATTAAAAGATAACCATAGCCAAGTAGAAAAATCCACATGAACATTAAATACTTTTCTCACTTTAGGACATTTGCACCAGTTTGGGATGTTTTCAAAACTTCAACAGAAAAACTAGCAAGCTGTCACTTGGATCTTGTGCGAAGATTACAAGAGCTAATAAAAGAAGTTCACAAGTATGGAGATGAACAAATCAAAGCTTATAAAAAGGTTAATTTATTTTTTTCTTATGCATGTCTAATGACTTGTTAACATGGAAATTAACATTATTTGGTTTTGATGACCATGTTATATTTGACAGACTAAAGAAGACGTTTCAGGAACATTGGAAGCTGTGCAAAATATTCAAAGTATCACTCAGGCCTTACAGAAATCAAAGGAAAACTACAATGCAAAGTGTGTTGAACAGGAACGTTTGAAAAAGGAAGGAGCAACACAGAGAGAAGTTGATAAGGTAGTGCTTCAACATCTTACTTTAATTCATTTTGCTGTCAGTGAGTAACACATTCACCTTGTGCTAGTAAGGGAAATGCTCAGAAACATATAAAAGCAGTAAAAAGTAGTAGTTGTGGCTGTTTAATAATTGACATAATTTGAGTACCTAGTTATGTTTTGTTTAAAATTCCTTATGTGTTCTAATTCTTTATTTTGGAGATATCTGCATGATATGTTAAGTTTGTTCAGTGATTTTTACAGATATTGCATATAATTGTTTCAACATCTGTCATAGAATCATAGAATGGTTTGGGTTGGAAAATACTTTAAAGATCATCTAGATCCAACCTGCTTGCATTGGCAAGGACACCTCCCACTAGACAAAGTTGCCCAAAGCCCCATCCAACCTTGCCTTGAACACTTCCAAGGACGAGGCATCCACAACTTCCCTGGGCAGCCTATTCCAGTGTCTCACCACCCTCACAGTGAATAATTTCTTCCTAATGTCTAACCTTAATCTCTCTGCTTCCAGTTTAAAATCATGACCCCATGTCCTATCACTACATGCCTTTGTAAAAAGTCCCTCTTCAGCTTCTCTGTAGACTCACTCCAGGTACTGGAAGGCCACAATAAAGTCTCCCCAGCTTCTTTTCCAGGTTAAAACACACCGATGGTTTCAGCCTGTTCTTATAGGTGAGGTGCTTTAGCCCTCTGATCAACTTAATTGTCCTCCTCTGGACTCGATTCAACAGCTCCATGTTCTTCATGTGTTGGAGGTTCCAGAACTGGACACAATACTCTGAGTAGGTTCTCACAAGAGCAGATAACAGGGGGAGAATCACCTCCCTTGACCTGCTGGGCACAGTTTTTTTGATGCAGCCCAGGACATGGTTGGCTTTCTGGGCTGCAAGCACGTATGACTGGTTCTTGCTGAGCTTCTCATCAACCAACACCCCCAAGTCCTTTTCTTCCAAGCTGTTCTCAATCCATTCTCCACCCAGCCTGTATTTGTGCTTGAGATTGCCCTGACCCAAGTACAGGACCTTGCACTTGGACTTGTTGTATGGGCCCACCTCTGAAGCTTTTCAGGGTCCCTTTGGACATCCTTTCCCTCCAGTGTGTCCACCGCATCATGCAGCTTGGTGTCATCGTCAAACTTGGGAGGATGCACTCAATCCCACCATCAATGTCATTGACAAAGATCATAAAATAGCACTGGCCCCACTACTGACCCTTGAGGAGCCCCATTTGTCACTGGTCTGCCTTTGGATGTCAAGCTGTTGACCACAACTCTGAAGAGTGTGGCCATCCAGCCAATTCCTTATCTATGAAGTGGTCCATCCATCAGATGCGTATCTTTCCAATATAGAGACCAGGATGTTTTGTGGAACAGTGTCAAAAGCTTTGCATAAGTCCAGGTAGATGACATCACTTGCTCTCCCCTTGTCCACCAATGCTGTTACCCCATGGTAAAAGGCCACTAAATTTGTAAGACAGGATTTGACCTTGATGAAGCCATATTGGTAACCACCAATCACCTCCTCATTTTCCATGTGCCTTAGCAGAGCCTTCAGGAGGATCAGCTCCATGATCCTGCTGGGCACAGAGGTGAGACTGACTGGCTTGTAGTTCCTTGGGTCTTCCTTTTTTCCTCCTTTTGAAAATGAAGCTGATGTTTCTCCTTTTCCACTCAGTAGGAACTTCACCAGACTGCCACAGCTCTTCAAAGATGATAGAAAGCAGCTTTGCAACTTTATCCACCAGTTTCCTGAGGAGTCACGGATGGACTTACTTATGGATTTACTTATATAAATATGTAAACTCAATACCCCTGTCACTGAATTAAGGAGTAGAAGTTGTTCCTTCAGTGGGACAACATAACTAATTACACCAGTGCTTGAAGTCAGTTCCATTGAGAAGAAAAACAAGTTAACATTACTTTCAGTGATAATTTGAAAAATTAAAATTGCATGGACCAAAATTCCAAGGGATTAGTATCTTGATGTTATATTTAGTTTTGTCCTTGGCTTATAGGTGAGTTTGATTCATTCAGAGATTCACAAAATGGCTGAGGTTGCAAGGCACTTCTAAAGGTCATCTTGTCCAACAACCCCTGCTCAGGTAGGGTCACCTAGAGTCAGTTGCCCGGGACCATATCCAGCTGACTTTTTAATATCTCCAAGGATGGAGATGATACAACCTGTCTGGGTGACCTGTTCCATTGCTCAATCGCCTTCACAGAAAAAAAGACATTCAGAGGGATCCTCTTGTATTTCTGTTTGTGCCCATGACCTCTGGTTCTGTCACTGGGCACCACTGGAAAGATTGTGCGCATGTCTTCTATTTACCCTCCCTTACGTTATCTTTATCTATTGTTAAGATCCTTCCTGAGCCTTCCCTTCTCCATGCAGAGCAGACCGAGCTCTCTTAGCCTTCCCACCTTAAAGAAGTGTGCCAGTCCCTTCATCATCTTAGTGGCCCTTTACCAGGCTGTATCCTGTAAGTCCATGTCTCTCCTGCAATGGAAAATGCAGAACTGGACACAGTACTCCAGATGTGGCTTCACCAATGCTGAGTAGAAGGGAAGGATCACCTGCTGGAGCAACTAATTTTTTCAGGGAACTAAGTAGTAGAGGAAAGAGGTCATGTTTCCCTGTCTCTAGCTATGTCTTATACCTCTGCCTACTATTTCCATTTCTATTGTGTTACTGTGTTCTAGTTAGAATGATCTTAGAGCCCTTTGTATCTGTTACCTTTATGCCCTTTATCTTGATAGAGCAAATAGAGTAGATTATTGTTTTTTCAGTGATGACAGAAGTGATCCTGTTTACTGTGTTCTGATTGTTAAATATTTAATATAAATCTAGAATTTTTCCTACCTTCGTCTCAAATGGCAGTCAGTGTTGGATTCTTGACATGAATCAGAAATATGTGGGTTAGCAGATGTTTTCCTGCCAGTGTATTCAAAGTATAGTTTTTCTCAGTTCTTGTAAACCCATTGAAGGTTTTCAGTAGGAAAGGTTGACTTGATAGAAAGTTTATTTTTAAGATGTAACATATTTGTTCAGTTGGAAACAAAAAAATGTTCCATCTGACTGATGTTTACAGGAGAAGTGAGAAAAAGGAAGCACTGTAGGATTAGTGCAGTTTTTTACTATTTTATGCATCATCCCTAAATATTTCTGATTAAACAGTCAGGCCATAGTTGAATGCTCTGCAAGTACTTGAAATATGTTTCCAGTGGGAGCAGTTAACAATGACCATCACACGTCTGTAGTCGTGTCTTTTCAAGTTTACACTGGTAGCTTCAGAAACATTGGGACAAAGACTGTATATCTTTTTTTCCTTTGGCAGACAATAGGTTTATTACTTCTAGCACAACATGAAAAATATTTTCTATCAATATCACAGAATAACTACTTTGTCAGAAAGCAGTGGATCTGCATCAATATGCTAAGTACTTATCACAAAATCAGATACTTAGAAAAGTACTGAAGAATCTGAGGGAAGTATTTGAGACTTTGCAATTTCCATTGCAGCCAAAAATTAGTGTTAACTTGTGAAATAATTTCCTGTTGTTCTCTGACATGTGAACTTCTCTATTTATAGTGACTTGACAAAAAATCATGACTCTTCCTTGTTCTTTCATATACTGTAAATCTACTAAATAGATTTCTAGCAATTGCTGCACCTGAGAATAGACACACCCTTTTTTCAGAAAAGATTACTAGTTAATCATACACCGTTCATGTGTTTTATCATTTTGTCTGTCCTTCTGAGTAGTTGGGTTTTGTAGATGCTTTTCAGCACATACCACTCAGATTCTGCATTAAATAAGATCACAAAAGACAGAGAACATTTGGTTTTGTCTAAATGCCATGCATATGAGGTTCTATTTACATCATGCTTTACAAAAAATATATATTTTTTAAATCTTTGAACTTGACATGTTCTCCCTTTTCAATGTTTAAATTTGGAATCATCTCATTGCAAAGCACTTTGAATTGTCTTTAAAAGCAAGTGATTGTGGACCAATTTGTACTTTCAGCATAGTAAATAGTATTTGGGAAACAAGATAGGACTGTTTTCTTCTTTGTAATTTCTCTATGTGAATGTGGAAGAGTGAGAAACATGAAGTTAAATCTGGGACAAGTAATTGATGGGTTTGATACAACTTGTTATATTCTCCTTTTAATGCCTGAAAGATCCTTATTTTTTATACAGTGACTTATTTCAGGCTCTGAAACACTGGACTTAGCAGACTACCTAGCCAAGATCTGCTTAAGCTTTCTTTGGAACTGGAACAGTGAAACTGTAGCTTTGGTACCTCTTCATCTGAAGTCCTGGTTGATGTTTCACCAGGTGAACAAGTGCTAATGCTATAATGTTACTCTCAGTAAGGAGAAAGTTATAGATACTGGTCAGCTTTACAGGTTACTGCAAGTGAGAAATAGTTTCTGTTTTTACTGTAGGACAGATTAAATAAATTTGAAAGAGGAGAGGACAGCTGTTCAGAACTAGAACAAACAGTAAATACACAAATATCTTTACTGATGTCATTAACAGTTCAGTAATACTTTTGAGTTATAACTAATGGTAAATTTCAATGAGATAGAACTTTTATTTTCATAAGTTTTTAACTTGGAAATAGCAAGAGTATCAAAAGTTTTAAAAACTCCATTTCATGTGTGTCATGCTGTAAACTTGGAAAAAAACTTTTTCCTGAGCTGCATAAATCTGGCCATTAGTGTGTTCTGCATTATCTTCACTTTCAAATATATCTTAATCATAACATTTCCATGGATGTAACTTCTGCAGTTTTGATTTTTTTTCTTCATTTCTAATAGAGAACTGTACCTTCTTGTTTTGGTTTGGTTTTACCATTCACGCTTTCAGAATTGCACAAATAACTGTTTGATCTGTATTACAACCCAACTTTCATCTTGTTTTTCTGTTGTAGTCCTAAATATTTGACAAGAGCTACTTAGTTAACTTTAGCAATAAAAATCTGACTTCAAAATAAGTGTGTTATGAATTTGTTATTGGTGATAAGGGGAAGGGCTTGAGATTAGGTAATTGCTTTGTTACCTTTTTATGTGGTTTATATACACACCTTTAAATAGAAATCTCTAATGCATTGAATCGGAGTTATTTGGTGGTGAAATGCTGTTATGACACTTCACTGTTTTGATATGTCCCTGAATATTTTTTGTAGATCATCCCAAGCTTACTTTTAATAGTGATATTAAAAACCTTAGATCAGATTCTATGTATGGCAGTTGACACTTTTTTGTACTGATCTACAGGCAGCAGTTAAATCAAAAAAAGCTACAGATACCTATAAACTATATGTGGAGAAATACGCTGCATTTAAATCTGATTTTGAACAGAAAATGACAGAAACTGCACAGGTAAGTGTTAAATGATTTACTTTTGAAATAGGTTAATATAGGCTATTTCACGTCTGAAGACACCTAAAAACAAAACTTCTGAAAAATTGGTTCAAGATAGAATTATCCCCTCTGGAAACTGATATGAACGATAATGTCAGGAGTAATATGTTTGAAAGGCAAACATTGTCCCTGTGTGTTGTGATAGCACTGTCCTTGAATGGCATAGACAAGCACTAACACTCTAAAAAGACTTTTTGAACAAAGAAAATAAGATTAACTTCTGGAAGTCTCGTAGATGCATATTGATCATGTGGGAAACCCTGTGAATTCCTGAACACTCAGAAGTAATTTGTGGAAGTTTTAGTATCAGGATCCATCGTGTTTTTTTCATTATCATTCTAGCAAAATGCTTTAGTTACAGCTTGTGAAAGTGTCTTCCAGGGTTCACCTGAGCTTTTGAAAAGCCCTTACATTTGTTTAAGTTTCTGGGTTTCTTTTTAGTCTTTTCATTTGTATTTCAGAGGACATCAAGTTTTCTGTATCATTGCTTATGCTGCTTCCTGTTGTATTTAAAATTTTCTTTTTCAAATCTGTTGATAGTAGACTCTTTTCTACTGCCCCAGATTTCAAAAAGCAAACTTCAGTTCAGCTTTTAGCAGTAACGGTTAATTAAGGACTGGTTTGCATATTTATATATGTTTCCTGGTTTAGTAAAGCTTTTACAGTATAGAAATTTTCTTTTTTTGGTTGAAAGTTTTTTGCTCTTTTCACTAGTTTCAAAGATTAAATTTTAAGCATAAATTTAATTAGTAGGGAGATTAAGTCGTAACTGTATTTTTAACATATAAGTAGGAGAGTGTTAGGGTTTTCCTTAACTCCTTGGAAATTAGGATTTCACAGCTTGGGGGTTGTGTAGGCTGACATGTAAAAAGCTGCCCTGTCTTGAACTGTAGATTGCTTTCCTACTTTGAGAACTTCATTAGAATTTTACCTAGTTCACCTCTGAATAGATACTTGACACAGGTGTTAGGGGAAGAATATCACATATAAGAAGAATATCACATAAAAGAACTCTTTCCTCCTACCCTCCAGTCTAGGCATTTGCAACAAAAAACTGCCCAGGTATGCTACTGAAAAAGTAGCTTTTAACAGCTGTTACATTAAGAGTCTTCACAGCCTTCCCATGAAGAATTTGCAGAAGGCATCTTTTTTTGTAGAATCCTGACTCAGTTCTGATTGAAGGAGCTGCAGTCCCTTGATTTAGTTAAATGTGGTTATGTACATTATTTCTCCCTCCTTTCAAAAAATCTGTGACTTTTAAATGCTTTTGTTGTTTTTGTTGTGGACTGTGAAACAGTGATGATGGCAGTTACTCAGCAGTGCAAAAAGGATATATTAAAAGTACAGGTTCAACAAAAAAAATTAATGTGTACTGTGGTCTAGGGCATAAGGCCTATTGAACTTTTCCCTCATCTCTGTTGTATGAAGCAGTTTTCACTATACTTTTTAGTTTAATCTTGCTGTCAAACGTTGCAGTTGTTCTGTTTCCACACTTCTTCCTTTGTCAAGTATTTGTGTGAGGAAATACCTTGGATAACTAATGAGCTAAAACTGATGTATGAAGAAAGTTTGGCTTTTGAAGAAAGATTGGCTTTAACTCAGAAAAAACCTGCGGTCTGGTTTATTAAGAGATCACCACAAGCATTTTTGCTGGCACAAAAGCAGAGGCAATGTGATACCAAGGGTAGAGAATTACATCTTGAATGTGTTTAACATGTGACACTGGCCTGGACACACTTGCACATGTGTCCACCTTACACTTTTACATCTGGTGCCTTAGTATTGTGTATCTCTCACTGTAACTTCAAATATTTGCTTATAAGTGATACCTAGGCAATTTGACAGAGATTAGGATTGGAATTGGCATGTGTGATTATAATCACTGAGAATTTCAGGATTAGGCAACCTTTTTAAACTTAACTAATATGTATCTGTAAGCATTTATTGGAAACAAGTATAATATAATAGCAACAAAAAATCATTGAAGTTTATGTAACATTCCTCCTGGAATTTTCAGAAATAAGTGTAGGTGGAATCAAAGTGACCAGTGAACACAGTCTGCTGCTACCACAAATGGTAACTTTTTTGATAATGTTCTTATTAATGTAACTGTTGTATTTGCTCAGTAAGCTTTCCAGTAACTCCATCATTGTGTGGTTTGTATAAGTTGTAATTCAGTCTGACCATTGCTGTAGACTCCATCTGTAGCTACAAAGGAATTGAGTAATACCAGAAAAAAATACTGAACAGTTCCATTTATTTGTCTTGCATCATATACAAGTGTGGCTCTTCCACATCAAGAAGTTCCTACCCTGTTATTTACATTGCTCTGGAAGTTACTGAACCCCCTATGAAGCAGATTCTGTGCACACCTCTGATCCACTGCAGAGCAAGTCCAGTGAGGTTACTTTATGTCTTTATTTAGACTCATAAAAGCTGTCTGTTGGCCTGTAATGTTACAAGAAAGAGACTGTGTTTATAGTAGTTGACTTAATGCTCTCAGCAATAGTAAGAAAAAATAAGTATTTCAATAAGCTGGCCTTGCTGTCAGGGCTTGGGACAACATGACAACAAAGAACCAGCCCCATGGCTGCTCACACAACTCCCCCACACACACACACTCTCTGGGATCAGGAGGACAAAGCTCCTGGGTTGAGACAAAGGACGAGGAGGGTTCTTCACCGATTAAGGTCCCAGGCAAAACAGACTCAACTTGGGGAAAAAATAGTAATTTAATTTCACACTAATAAAACACACACAGGACACAGACAACACACAGAACAGGGCTTGCATATGTTACCCCACCCCTCCCTTCTTACCGGGCCCAAATCCCTTTGTTCCCGGTTTCTTTCCCTCCTTCCCCCCAGCGGCACAGGGGGACAGGGGATGGGGTTTAGAGTCAGTTCACAGGCTGGTGGTTCCTGCTGCTCCTTCCTCCTCAGGAAGAAGGATTCCTCACAGTCCTTCCCTGCTTCCCCACGGGGTCCCTCCCATGGGAGAGAGTCCTCCAGGAACCTCTCCTTCATGAGTCCTTCCCACGAGGTCTGGAGCTGCTCCAGCCTGGGCTTCCTGCAGATTCAGGGGCTGCTTCAGGAACACCCAACTCCCCTGGTAACAGGGTCTTCCACAGCTGCTCGATCAGAGTCCACTGGCAGCAAACCCACTGGCCACAAAATCCAAGTCCAGTGGCCAAGTTCATCCCTCCTGGCACCTTCAGGGAATGTTCCTCCATGTTCCTCCATGAGTACAGGGGGACAGCTGCTATCTTGCCATGGGTTGCTGGGAAACTTCTTCCTCATCCACCACCAGCTGGGCTCTCCTTCTCTAACACATCTCTTCTCTCTTAAGTGCTCCTCCGCTCAGGTCTCATTCCAGTTCTTTGGCATGTTAATCGCATCTATTGTCCCTATGGTTCCTTGGCTGGGTTTGGAGCAGGGGGAGCTTTTCAGCTTCTTACCAGAGCCACTTGATGCCAAAAAGCCACCAAACCAAACCAGAACAATCACAGTGTAAACTCGTTTCCTGTGAGCAAGAAAGCTGTGACTAATGATGAGGTATTCTTGTTTAGTACTGACAGAAGGTGAACATAGAGTATTTGAAATGGATTTTACTCTCAGTGAGTTAGTGAAGGGAAATGTAGAGGCTTTCAGAAGTAAACTGGCTGGGCTTTTCATTATGTACTAAAAAAAATAATGATCCCTTTGAACGATCCACTGCAACAGAAGACTGAGAAAGGTAACAGGTTATTTTGTATCTAGAGACCAGAATATGTTCAGCTTTCTTATTTGTTTTAGTGGGAGATACTATGTATTTATACCCGGCTGCAATGTAGAGAGAGAAAAAAAGTCTTTGTACTATATTGCCATCAGATGTTACAGCTGGGAAAATCTAACCATGCTTCTGGACTGCTTTGGGGTGGTGTTTTTTGTTTTGTTTTGTTGTGTTGTGGTTTTTTTTTTCCCCAGTACAAAGGTAGTACAAAGCTACCTCTCACTACAAGCCGTATTTATCTAATGTCCTGAGTTCCTTAATTGAAACAACTCGTCTGCAGATGTAATTCTTCACTTATTGTGCTAATGGACACCTGGAAGCTTTCCACACCTGTCCACATTGGAATGAAATTGCTGTTCTGCCAGTGTCAGTTGTATTTGTGGAATTTTAAGTGTAGTGATGCAGGGTGCCTGCTTTAAGGATGATGCCACACAAAAAAAAAAGCAACCATGAATATGTGGAAGCCCGCTTCTTCATGAAGCCCATCCTAGATTATCTTAGCTTAGAGTACATTTCACTTAAAATATTCTAGTTCTGAAAACAAAATGAATGACAAGAGTGAGCATTGTAATCTGTTTCAGCGCAAAATCAGTTGGTTTAACTGAAATCTGTCATATTGTTCACATACTATTTTTTGAGGATAAACAACTTGGATTGTTAAGGAGTTATTCTAGGTAATCATCTAGTAATGTCCTCACTCCTCTTTTCTTAGTTAAAACTACAATAATCAAAGTGAAGTAACTTTCAAAATATTTTGAGAGGTTGAATTAGGAAACATATGGTCTTCCTAACCTTGAATTCCAAATTGTGATTTGTGTTGTTGATAAACATGGATGGCTTTCTTGTGATCAAAGAAGTAGGAAAATAAAGTTGACTGTTGTTAAGAAATTGGATTAAACAGAAATTCCTCACATTGAAAGATTTTTCTGAGTAAAGTTATAGCTGTCCTATGCAATTGCTATGCAGTTGCTAAGAAAACATGATGTCTTATTTACCAGATTTTTCTACTTTGTTAGAAGCTTTAAAAAAATTCTGTAGAAAACTCAGCTGGAAAGGATCAAATAGCTGAAAGTGCTGAATTATTTTTTAAAAGTTTTCAGTCTTATCTATAACTGAGTAGAGTTGAGTTCAGATGAGTTTGCTGTTGAGCACGCTACATAGAATGGTTTGCGTTGGAAGGGACCCTTGAGACCATATAGTCCCAAACCACCTGCCATGGCCAGAGACTCTTTCCACTCATTGCTCAAAGCCTGATCCAACCTGTCCTTTAACACTTCCACCATATAGATAAACTTCAAGAATGAGTAGAATTTTTCCTGTTTTTTTTAATTGCAAAACTTAGAAGAAAACATACATGCTTGTATAAAGGAGTAATAGTCATTTAAACAGTGTATACACACAGTTTTTAAGTTGTACAGCTAAAGATCCTGTTGATTTTTCATTGGTATTGTAGCTTAAAAGACTAAAAAGTGGCTTGCGTTTCTTGAGTCATTACAGATTGATTTCAGTGTATCTTTAAAAAATGACTGATCTTTCAAAAGTGAAAGTGAACAATTTAATTATCTGTGATACGAATTACATGATTGTACTATAGTGCCTAGCTTTATTCTTTTATCAGAAATTCTTAGTATTATGTGTTACACAAGGCCAAGATGGCACTTCTTCAAAGACTTTAGATCTCAAGTATAAAACAATAAACAAGAAATAAGGAAACACCTGGGGGAGGGTAGTGCTTTCCACTGACAGGAGACACAAAAAAAAATATCTGAATGGCCAACTGTTTTAGCCAAGAGTTTTATGGAGAGCTCAAACCAAATATGAAGGAAGCATGATTGGTGCAATTTCAGCTAGTCTTTGTGTTTAGGTTAAAATTAAATGATGGAAACAGGCACACATTTGAAGCATGTGAAGCACATTTGTCCATGTGTTGACACCCTAACAGTCACTGAGAGCAGATCTGAGACTGAGATCAGAGAGGTGGACCATATGTAGCAAAATTATATGGTTTCCATAATAAGGCAATCAGTAGAAAAATAAGATACAGAAGATGACCATATCCTCTGTAATGAAGAGAAAGGCTGCTAGAGAAAAAACAAACCAAAACATTAATCTGCTTGATTGATGGCTAGAGAAGTATGTAAGTATGGCTGACGAAAGATTTAGAGTTTAGAAGTTAGATATTCTGTTGGTCTGCATGGAGCAGTGTTTGTGAATCATAGTAGCAGGAGGTGTAAAATGTGGAGAAGTAGTCTTCAGAGAGTCCTGTACAATTAGAGAAAGGATTAAGTGGTACTTCAAAGTTTGGACACACTTGAAAGAGCAGTTACAGAAATAGGAAGAGAACTAGGAAAGAGCAAGTGTAAACAAACATTTCAAGACAATTACAGTTGACTACTGGGGAGGAGGAGGACATGTTTAGTTCCGATCTTTGGCTAGGGTCATTGAAAACATTGGTGTGATTTTAAAATGGCTGCCAGCTAGAAGTTTTGGTTAAAATGGAGCAAGCTGCAGAGATATATATGGTAAGTTTAAAGATCAAACAAATTAATAACATTTAGAGAAGCAAAGGATATAGACTTACGTAGAAAAAGAGAAAGCATGTGTATATTGTGAGCAGGAGGAAAGTTTGCTGAGAAGGAAGGGCAAATCAGATCCAGAAATAAGATTTCTAGGTTTAGATGAAAAACACTCTGACGTATTGGAGAAGATAGATGTATTTTTTTAATACCCTCTAACACTATTTTATTTTAATGGAAATAGGTGGGGGTTTTTTGAAATATCAATATTGAGGAAGGCTTAAAGATTAAAAAAATTGGATAATGGTTCCAAAAGGAGCTATTTTATTTTAAAGTACCTCATATTGTAACTCTGTGAGTTCCACTCCTTCTTTTCTTAAACTTTGTTGTTACTGTGATCAAGATCAGAAAATAATAATGGGGTTGTTGGTTTTTTTAGTATTTACTGTATTTAATTATTAAAATTAAAGGTTTATAATTATATTTTAATAATTATTAATAAATCTTTTTATTATTGTTAATTGTTTTTATTGGTTTACAGAAATTTCAAGACATTGAAGAAACACACCTTCTTCGTATGAAAGAGATTATAGAGTCATTGTCAAATACCATAAAAGAAATTCATTTACAAATAGGAGAGGTAATTTTTATATCCTCATGTGTTTGTTTTATCATCATGTGTTTGTTTGGATTATGCTACATATTTTTCTTAACTACTAAGTGGAGGATTTCTCACTGTGTTTATGGTGATTACAAGGTCTTATCTTACAAATGACTGTAAATTCAACATAAGCTCAAAAGTTTATGACTTCCTTTTGCATTTTTAAGTTCAGTATCACAGAAATTACAGAATAAGTAAATACATTCTGTCTTAAGAGAAAACAAAATATTTTGACAATTCAAAGAATTTTTTGTGTATTTCAAAATTTTGTTCCCTAGATATTAAACTAGCAGTCATTTAACTCAGAATGGGAATATTTATGCTTTTCTTTGACTGAAACTTGAAATTTTATCACTCTGAAAAGTTTACAAATATTTTATACACTTTGGGTTTTATGAGCAAAAGATCTTCAGTAACAGAAGCTTTTTAGTATCTTCTCTTTAGGAGTAAGTTGGTTTAATTAATAACCCTTATAAGTAGGCCTTAATTTTTAGATATTTTGTAGTTTTATTTGTGTATATTTAGAATCATTGCTTTCCTTGGTTTGTGGTTTTTTTCTGCTGATGGATGGTGGCCGCAATGGTGTTCTTTATTTCCAAAGCATGCACATACTGCCCTGTTGGAAAAAACTTCTATATTAACAACATGTGTTTGCTCCTTTGTCAGAGCAAAACATAGCAACAATAATGCTTTTACTCAAAAAGGTGGGAGCTGTGATAATACAGTAGAAACAGTTCACACCCTTAACTGGTGCTGGCTTAAGCAACTGCTTGTCTTCCTGACATTGGGGTGGGACATGTTGCTGACAAGTTCAGAAAATTATAAATATACCAGTTTAAATGGAAGAAATGGAAGTAAATTCTAGACCCATCATCAAGCTGTATTCTTTCATTCCTAGTTCATGTGTGTATTGTACATGCACTTGCTAATACTAAAGCAAAGAAAGCATTTCCCTGGTAAAATGCCTGTTGCTTTCTGAAAGCCCTGTAATGTACTTTAGAGAAACCCATTTTTTAAAGTTAGCTGCTTCCTTTCAGTTACTGGTTTTTAAATTCCTTTTATGTTTTTTGAAGGTGCATGAAGAGTTTATTAATAACATGACAAATACTACAGTTGAGAGTTTAATACAGAAATTTGCTGAGTCAAAAGGAACTGGCAAGGAAAGACCTGGTAAGAGATTAAAAATGACTGAGTAGGAAATGTTGATTTTAAAACCATAGATTTCCACTCCTAATAAAAGTTCAACACCCTATTTCTTAATGTGATGTGTTTTTAATGTAAGAATTGGAAATTGTTGTTGATATTAAATGACTAATAGAAACTGATAACACACAATTTATTAACATGTGGTATTTGTGTTCATAATCCATAATTTGTTGCTCTGAGTCCCACTATGTGTACTTCAAGGAAGCTTTTAAACTATATTGCTCCTTGGCACATCAGCGATACTTGTCCAGAAACAAGTTATTTGCATAAGCTGTGTTGGGTGCTGTGTCTTTCTGCATATATTATATTTAAAAGCCTTATTTAATATATATTTATTGATATATTCAGAATAGATGTATTTTGGGGAAATTGCCTCAGTTTATCTGGTTAACTTACAAAATTATCCATTTTAATAGATTGTATGTACACAGTTTCTTTACTAAGCTGCAAAACGTGCCGTACTTTCTGAAAGAACTGCTAGTTGGGTGGGGCATGTAACTTTTCTGGACTAGCATAAAAAGAGAATCTCACAGTACTCTGTATCTGTCATTACAAGAAAAATAGAGTTCACTTTAATTTGGGCATGAATACAGTCATTAGGTGTGTGAATACAGTAATTCAATAGTACTGAGTAGTGTTTTCTTCAGCACTGGGAGTCCTAACGAGCATCTCTGTCTTCTAGTATAGAAGCACAAAGGATTTTTTCAGAACAAGGATATACATAAGAGAGTAGATCTTGAGAATTTGTATTAAATTGTTAAATATGATTACTAGGGATCTTACAATGCCTCTATGACATGTTTTTAACATAACATTGTTTTGTATTATTTCTGTGATCCACTAATACTAGTATCTGTGTGAGCTGAAGTAAGGTTGATATCAGGACAAAGACACATGAAAATTCAATGCTCAGGCGTCTTTGTATAGCTATTGTCAAGATGTTGTGGCTGGGCTTCTCCGTCTTGCATTAGGATTCTTACCCCCCTGAGTTACAAAGATCCTTGCTAATTAATTTATCCTAGAGCGCTGTGTACTTTGTCATCCATGTTATTAGTTTGAGTTTTACAGTATTAAATTATTGTACTAGTAATAACTTGTAAAACAGTCGTGGTGCAGAGGGAAAGCACAGGCAAATTCCGCACTAAAAGAATACAAATTTACAAGATGTTGTGAAGTATCAAAGACTGGAAACATGGACCACTAGTGATGTTAATTAAAAGTTACTGCTTCTGTTATATTAATTATATTAACTTTGAATCATTCAGCTTTGACAATTACAAAGATTTGGAAGGCAAAGTGTGGTATCAGCCTTCTAAGAATGAAATGGAAAGATGAAAATAATTATTTCTGTGTGTGATGTATTTATTAATTAGGCTGGAGAAGGCTGCTCAGATAAGTCTAAATATTCAATGTAAAAATTATACTGACTTGGCATACAGAACAAATTCAGAAAAAATGTCTTATGGATGTCAGTGTTGCTTAAAATTCCCGTCTTAAGTCTATGTTGAAGGAAATGCTTTAAAATTTCCAAGCACTACGTAGGCCTTCTCCCCTCCATTTTCTTTGTGGACTAGTATACTAAGTTAGATGGTGGGTCATTTTCTGAAATACTGAATTTTGATAACAAACTAAAAATGTAGTGCATAACAAAGTATTTTAACTTATTTCAGTATATTCAAGCTACAGTTCTTCATTGCAGAATTCGCTTGGTTTTTCTCTATCTGTAAAAATAGAATTAATATGAAATTAAGTATTAAGAAGACATGTTTTGTTGTGTGAATGATAAGCAATATACAGGAAAGTTTTTCAGATGTAGGCAATTATTTTTGTACAATGATGTCCTTTCTACAGATTATGTGGGCTCCCTCTGGTGGCTAATTTCTGTCACCTGGAGTAGTGATATACACGGGTTTCTAGAGTTTAACGCTGTTTTTCTAGTACAAATAATGTTTCTTTCAAGCAGTAATGAATTGTGAGATTTTTAAACTTAATAGCTGCTTTTTAACTGCTACCTAAATAATTTATCTAGGCAGCTTTATCACCTGCTTCTTACTAAATTTACTTTAAATATCTTTTTTAGTTTAGTTTTTAGTTTACAATTTTTAGTAACAAAATATTTGAATATATTTTATTTGTTACTTGTTTTGCCACTTCCATTCAGTGTAAAAAAAAAAAAAAGCCACATCCTGTTGCATTTCTCATAATTTTAACTGAAAAAACATCACTTACTGTAAAACATTGAAAAACAGAGAGCTGGCAGAAGCTGCAAGAACCACTAAGACTTCAGGTCGTAATTTAATATGTTCTCTGAACCATTTCTAATATTCAGGAGGACCTGGACAAGCTTGGGAAGTGGGCTCATGTGAAACCTAATGAGATTCAACAAGGCTAAATGCAAGGTCCTGCACCTGGGTTGGGGCAACCTCTGGTGTCAATACAGGGGGATGAAAGGATTGAGAGTAGTCCTGTGGAGAAGGACTTGAGGAAACTGGTGGATGAAAAGCTGGACATGGGCCAGCAAATGTGTTCTTGCAGCCCAGAAAGCGAGCCATATCCTGGGCTGCATTAGAAGAAGCATGGCCAGCAAGTCCAGGGGATGATTCTCTCTCTCTTCTCTGCTCTGGTTAAGATCCCACCTGGAATACTGCCTACAGCTCTGGAGTCCTCAGCACAGGAAAGACATAGACCTGTTGGAGCAAGTCCAGAGGAGGGCCCCAAAAATTATCAGAGGGATGCAACACCTCTGTTATGAGGAAAGACTTAGAGAATTATGTTTCAGCCTGGAGAAGAGAAGGCTCCAGGGAGACCTGACTGTGACCTTTCAATATTTAAAGGAAGCTTATAAGAAAGGTGGGGACAGGCTTTTTAGTAGACCCTGTTATAATAGGACCAGGGGTGCAAAGGTTTCAAACTGAAAGTAGATATAGACTAGATATAAGGAAGAAGTCTTTTACAGTGAGAGTGGTGAAATGCTGAAAGAGGTTGCCCATAGACGTTGTGGTGGAAATATTCAAGGTCAGGTTGGACAGGGCTGTGAGCAATCTGATCTAGTTGAATTCCCTGCTCTCTGCAGGAGCGTTGGGCTAGATGACCCTTAAAGGTCCCTTCCAACCCAAACTATTCTGTTTCTCTGATATGTTCCTGCTATTAGGCCTAATTGCAGATTTGATACAATCAGTTTGTCGCTTGCATGGTCTCCTCCAATGTTCATAAAAATTTTCTGGCCACTTCTGAATCAGTTTTCTGTTTGTGAAAGGTCATTGTTCTATGTTCCTTGTGAATTTCATTTATTGCATGACAGAAAATGTCTGGTTTTCTTCCACCCAAAATATAGGTTAAGTCAATAATGTCCATTCCAGATTAATAACGTATCAATGAGTTCTAGCTTTGTTTAGTTAACCTTGTAAAATCTATAAAAAGATTGGTTTGTTTCAGCATGAAAAGTTGAAGCTACATGAAATAGAAACTGCTAGCAAGTAGAAGCTCATATTCTTCTCAGATCTTATAACTGAAATTGACAGGATAATATCTTAACATGTTTGAAGAACTTAGTGAATGCCTTTTTAGCTATAATTGGTTATGAGTGAGTTTTGGTTTTTAGCTACTGAATTACTCTGCCTTCTCAGATGTGGAAAATTAAATGAGTGTGTTTGTCCCTGTATTAGTTTTTTCTCACTACACAGTTAACACGGAAGGTGCCTTGAAGGCTGTATGAGAAGACTTATGCGTGCTGCATTGTCAAAATAAACACAACAAAACAAAAGCCAAATGTAGACTATTTGTTTTCATTAATTTGTTCTAGTGTCATTGTTAGTGGCTGTTGGTAACTTATTAAGATCTTCCTCTTATTTTTGCATTTAAAAAAATGAGGAAATAAAAATATTTGTAATGCAGACAAAAAAACAGAAAACCATAATCTTTGCTGTCTTCTTAGCCCTCCAATGAAACAATGATGGGTAGGTGGCAGATATTACATGTGCTCTGCCGTAATTCAGTGCAAGAGAGGTGTTGGGTCATCTTTTAACTATAAGGTTTTTTTTAAGTATTTTGATTTGTACTAGTTTGACCCATCTTTCACAATCACAGTAAACCAGAACACGATTTGCAACTGCAACACACAAGTAGAATCATAGAATGGTTTGAATTGGAAGGGACCTTCAAGATTGTCTTGTTCCAAGCCCCTGCATGGGCAGGGACATCTTTCACTAGACCTGTTTGCTCAAAGCCCCATCCAGCCTGCCCTTGAACACTTCCAATCATGGGGCATTCACAGCTTCTCTGCTTAGCCTATTCCAGTGTCTCATCACCCTCACAGTAAAGAATTTCTTTCTAACGTCTAGCCTACATCTACCCTCTTTTAGTTTGAAACCATTCCCCCTCATCCTGTCACTCACAGTCACAAAGTGGTTGGGGTCAGAATGGACCTCTGATGATCATCCAGTCCAACCCAGCTGTTGGAGCCAGATCACCTGCAGTACATCACACAGGAACATGTCCAGACAGGTTTTTAATGTCTCCAGAGAAGGAGACTTCACAACCTCTCTGGGCAACCTGTTCCAGTGCTTTGTTAATCTCACAGTAAAGAAGTTTTTCCTTATGTTTAACTCAAACCTCCTATGCTCCAGATTGTGCCATTGCCCCTTGTCCTGTCATTGGAGACTGCGGAAAAGAAACCGGACCCATCCTTCTGATATCCACCCTTTTAAGTGTTTATGAGATCCCCCCTCAGTGTCTTCTTCTCCAGACTGAACACCCCAGCCTTCTCAGCCTTTTCCTGAGATGCCCTTGCATGGGCAAATGCTCCATTCCTCTAGACATCTTTGTAGCCCTGCACTGGACTTCTCTGGAGACTTTCAAGACCTGTCTGGATGCCTTTCTGAGTGATCTGCCCTAGTTTTTGGTCCTGCTCTGGCAGGGGGGTTGGACTCTTATGATTTCCAGAGGTCCTTTCCAATCCTAACATG